ACTGAACAAAAGTTTAAAATGGGTGCCTGTGCGCTTTCTGCAGCCCCCCCCTCCCCGCCCCGCCCCGGCCTGTCAGGAACGAGGGCAGCGCCCAGGTGAGGGTCTAGAAACACCAGGAAAAGACACAGGGAGTCGCCCGCTCCCGTTTGCGGACACCACCCCCTCCCCCCAGGCAGCTCGGAAACCCTCACACATCTGTGCCGACCTGCAGGGCACCCCTGCTGGGGGCTGTGGCCGTGAGCTGTGGCTCCCACAGAGCCCCGCTGTGTCCCCAGAACCCACACAGAAGCTGCGGCCCCTCATCTGAGCAGCCGAGGGTCCGCACTGCCCTCCACGCCTCCCCACGCAGCCCGCTCACCCTTTTCCTGTTGGTGTTCTGTCTCCTTTCCTGTTTTTAATGTTTCCTAACAAACACTAAGCAGTGGCCTTGAACATGTCTTACATGGGGACGGTCAACACGCAACATGCCTTTGTACACGAGCCGGACTCGGGGAGAAGCGACAATACCAGGGATGAAAAGAAAGCGATTTGGACAACGCCAGCGCATGGAAGTTCAGGGGAGCCCCCCGCCCCCCACCCCGGGAGGACAGCCTTGTCTGGTAACTGGAGCTTTTAGCCAGCGGGGTCCCCCCTGCGCCCCGCCCCCCGGCGGCGGCGGCCCCTAGTGGCCCTGGGTCTTGGGCGGCTTGGGCTCGTGGATGACGGCGGCGGCCGAGAGCCAGGGCCCGATGGCGCGCGCGGTGCTCTGCTTGGCCACGCTGTAGTGGCTGATGACCGTGTAGAAGCGGCTCCGGGAGCTGGGCTCCTGCGCCGAGTAGTAGGCGTCCAGGGAGGCCGGGATGCAGCGCTTGTGCTGGGGACGAGAGAGCCGGTCAGCACCGCGCACCCCTCCCACCGCCCGGCGACACCCCCCCCACTCCACGCGGGGCCCAGCCACAGAGCAGGGGACAGCGCCCGCCGGCCTCCCCCCCATGGTCACCATCGCCCTCAAGGCCGACACTCCCTGAGGCGGGAGAAGGAGGCCTGACGGTGCTGACTCAGCTGCCTCCTCTGTTACTGGCTGGGTCACCGCCGTGGCCGCCGTGGGCGCCACCAGGCCCCCTCACCTGCGGCTCCCGTCACCCCACCCCACGCACTGCCCGCAGCCGTGGCCGCCTATTTCCTTTAGTTTGCTCTTGTGTCTCCTCCCCATCAAAGCCTTGGTTCCCGCCCTGCCCGCCCCTGGGTCAGCACCGGCCTGCGAACTGAAGGGTTCCGGGTTCGATTCCACTCAAGGGCAGGTGTCCGGGTTGCGGGCTCGATCCCCAGTAGGGGGCGTGCAGGAGGCAGCTGATCAATGATTCTCTTATCATTGATGTTTCTCTCTCTCCCTCTCCCTTCCTCTCTGAGATCAATAAAAGTATCTATTTTTAAAAGCCATGTTTCTTCATTTCCCAGGGCATTTCTTCGGGAGCTTCTCTGCCAATGTGAGTGCCCCTGCCCCGCCCCTCCCCCTCACACACGGCAGCACCTCTGCCTTCGTCTTATCCTGGGGGGGTTCCGTGTCCGGGTCTGGACACCTCCCTGCCTTATTGTCACCGCAGCACGGAGTCCCCGTGTGGCTACGTCGCAGCGTATGCACCTGTTCCCGATGGCAGTGTCACCACCACCCAGAGCCCGGGCTCCTGCTCAGGACGTGTCTTCGGGAGTCACGTGGCGCATGTTTCCTGGGGAACCTGTTTTGAAGGGGACGTTCCACGTGCGACTCCCTCACTTTGCAATGTTGGGTGACGTCTCAGAAACCGCTGCTCCCCAAACGCCCTTCACCTCCCTTCCCTTGGACGGAAATGGGGCGAACTCTCTGTATTTCTCAATGGGGTGCAGCTCCACGGAGGGAACGGGCATGAAACACCCAGCGTGGGCTCCCGGGAAAGGGTAATTTACGAAGGCGCACGTCCCCTTCTCTAGATCCAGACCAGACGTCTCTAGTCTAACGAACGTTTGTGGAGAGCGGTTGTCTAGAACAGCGGTCGCTAACCAGTGGTCTGCGAGGTGTGAAAGGCTGGCGACCGCTGATGTAGAAGGCCCTTCGCTGGCTGGCTTTACTAGGTTCTCTCCTCGGGCCTCGCGAAAGCCTGTGGGTGGGTGATGCACGCCCATTTGGCAGGTAAGACAGCTGAGGTTCAGAGGGCGAGGAGACGCCCGGGGCCATGCAGCCGGCTCAGGTCTTGGCGGGAAGGAGCAGAGTGGGGCTGCGGCCTGGGGACCCTCAGCAGCTGCCTGTCATCTATCTCTGCGGGCCGGTGGGGACAAGGACGCAGCCCTCAGACCAGGACGCTCTGGCCAGGGAGAGCCCCGAGGACGGGACGGGCAGTGTCCCCCGAGGGAGCGGGACTCTCCTCACTGCGACGCGCCACAGCAGGGTGCGCCTCGTCTACTGTCCCCCGAGACCAGTCCTTCGTGCCAAGTGGCAGACCCTTGGCCACCCCTTAAACAGTCTGCAGGGAGGGGCGGACCCCGAATCTGGGCGCCAGTGAGAAGGAGACATTGATAAACCCTCCCAGGGAAGCTGCCGTCCCCCGGGCCACTCACCTGCGGAGGCCCTTACCTTGTAGACAAACCCCTCCGGGCAGCTGTGGTCGTAGGTGAAGGCTTTGTAAACCACCAGGAACACGATGCAGGCGAGGAACGCGAGGGCCAGGCTGACCAGGATGGTGACCTGGGGGGACAGAACGGGGTCACCAGCCGGCTTCCTGCCTCAGGCCCGCAGCCTTCGAGCCTGGAGGTGGGTGGGTAGGTGGTGGGGGGGGACAGGCTGTCGCTCACTTGCAGTGTGACCCTGAGCAAACCACCTTCGCTCTCTGGGCCTCGGTTTCCCCTTCTGCCAGATACTTTCTGAAGCTGCTTCTGGGTCCAACATGACTCCCCCTTCCCCTCCCCCCTTTTACTTTCCCTGCGAGCTCTCTGGGGGGCGGGGGGCCGATCATTCCCTCACCACCTGGCACCGGCACCGAGGTCCACTCTCAGGTGTCACTGCTTGCTCACCTCCACGTGGACGCCCAGGACACGTTCCCGCCCCCGACTCCTGCCCTCCCGCCCCCGACCTGGGCCCTGCACGTTCCCGCCGCAGGGAATGTCCGCTCGGCGGCCCTCACAGGCTCAAGCCAAACCCTGGACGTCCGCCTTGACTCTGTTCTCCTCAGGTTCTACGCTCAGCCTGCTGCAGGCGCTGTCCCTCTGCCTTCAGACCCATCCGCCATCTGTCCGCTTCTTGTCACCTCGGTCACCTCCACCCTGGCCCACGCCATCGCCGCTTCTCCCCTGCGGCCCCCGCGCCTCCACGCGGACTCACACAACCGCCACCAGAGGCCCGTTCAGCATCGAAGGCCAGGCCCGGCCCTGCTCTGCTGGTCTCATTGCTGAGCCCAAGCCCAGCCCCTAACGCGAAGGACAAGCAAGCTTTCAAAATAACACAGACCCAACAAACCGGGGGCGGTGCGGGTCGATGGGAGAGGTGCCTGGTGGATCCCCGCCCCGGGGGCTGGCCCAGCCCTGCCCCTGTGCACAGCTGGCGGGCCCAGCCCCAGGACGTCACGCATCGGGTGTTACATAACCAGCTGTATGTTTGTCTCATGCTCTTTTTATTTCTTTTATTTTTGCATTTCTTTTCTTTTCCCTCACCACCTGGCGCCAGCACCGAGGTCCGATATATATGTTGTTTATATATGTTTTTTCTCAGGTCGTTTCAAAGCTGGCAGCCCACTGAGTCAGTCGGCCTAGAAACATGGAGTTCTCCTCTCATGAGAGGAGGGTGTTTTGATTCAGAAGAAAAAAAATAATCCTATCGACGTTGGGGTCCCCATGCCCTCTCCTGGCCGCCCAGGCCGGGGGCGCACAGACAGGAGGAAGCGGCGCATGGCTGCTCCACAAATGGGGTTGTTTGTTGGCATCTGGGCACATGGACGGGAGGACTTGGCGAAGGGAAAGGTGGACACAGGGTGTCTGTCTGAACCCCACGGTCAGACCCCGTCCGTGTGAGCGTGAGCCGGAGGATGGAGTCCGTGTGAGCATGAGCTGGAGGATGGAGTCCGTGTGGGCATGAGCCGGAGGATGGAGTCCGTGTGAGCATGAGCTGGAGGATGGAGTCCGTGTGGGCATGAGCCGGAGGATGGAGTCCGTGTGAGCGTGAGCCGGAGGATGGAGTCCGTGTGGGCATGAGCTGGAGGATGGAGTCCGTGTGGGCATGAGCTGGAGGATGGAGTCCGTGTGGGCATGAGCTGGAGGATGGAGTCCGTGTGGGCATGAGCTGGAGGATGGAGTCCGTGTGGGCATGCAGCTGGAGGATGGAGTCCGTGTGGGCATGAGCTGGAGGATGGAGTCCATGTGGGCATGAGCCGGAGGATGGAGTCCGTGTGGGCATGCAGCTGGAGGGTGGAGTCCGTGTGGGCATGCAGCTGGAGGATGGAGTCCGTGTGGGCATGCAGCTGGAGGATGGAGTCCGTGTGGGCATGCAGCTGGAGGGTGGAGTCCGTGTGGGCATGCAGCTGGAGGGTGGAGTCCGTGTGGGCATGAGCCGGAGGATGGAGTCCGTGTGAGCATGAGCTGGAGGGTGGAGTCCGTGCGGGCATGAGCCGGAGGATGGAGTCCGTGTGGGCATGCAGCTGGAGGGTGGAGTCCGTGCGGGCATGAGCCGGAGGATGGAGTCCGTGTGGGCATGCAGCTGGAGGATGGAGTCCGTGTGGGCATGCAGCTGGAGGATGGAGTCCGTGTGGGCATGCAGCTGGAGGATGGAGTCCGTGTGGGCATGCAGCTGGAGGGTGGAGTCCGTGTGGGCATGAGCTGGAGGATGGAGTCTGTGTGGGCATGAGCCGGAGGGTGGAGTCTGTGTGGGCATGAGCCGGAGGATGGAGTCCGTGTGGGCATGAGCCGGAGGATGGAGTCCGTGTGGGCATGAGCTGGAGGATGGAGTCCGTGTGGGCATGAGCTGGAGGATGGAGTCCGTGTGGGCATGCAGCTGGAGGATGGTATATGTTTGGTCTCTGTTCCCAAGCTTGGCCCTCCAGCCCCGCCCTGACCGAGGGAGGAGGGAGATCGCTGGGTCTTGGTCTGTAAGGAACCTCCTAGAAACCCCAACTGAAGAGGCTCGGGAGCTTCTGCAGCATCTGGGCCCCACAGGCCCCACAACTGCCCTTCGTTGTGAGGAGGGCACACCCTGGAGCCCCGGAAGCAGCAGACCCAGTGCATCAGGAGCGGGCGCTTCGGGGAGATGAAGCAGCTGCCCGCGGACATCCGTCTTTTGTATGTGACAGCTGGGCCCCCAGAGACAGACGCCGCCACCCTGCACCTTGCCAGCGGCTGCAGAAGTCCCGCCGCCTCCCAGCGCTGGGCGGGCAGTAGGAGCAGCGCCTTTGGGGCCAGGCTGTCCGGACGCAAAGCCCAGCTCTGCCCTCGCTGTGACCCTGTGGAGTTCCTTGCCCTCGGGAGGCCTCAGTTTACTTCTCTCTGGACGGGGCGACACTGGTGACTTTCTCACGCTGTGAGGCAAAACGGGGCGGTGCACGGAGCCCCCGGGCTGGCCTGCCCGAGGTCGCGCCCTCGGTTAGCACGCGTGGAGTGATGTGCGTTAGTCACCCCACCGTGTCCTCGTGGCCTGGGCAGTGGGCACCATCACTGTGCCCATTTCCAGAGGGGCTTTCAGAGGCGGAGGGAATGACGGCTTTCCATGCACGGGGCAGAGTGAGGCTAGGGACTCGGGTCCGAAGCCCCGCTGCCGCCACATGTCCTACTGCCAGTGTATCTCTAACTATATGAGCGATATTTTTATTAAAAATTCATTGCCCCGTGATTAAAAAGACAAAGGTGGAAGTCCAAGAGGAAAACAGCCATCACTACCGGCCACCATCTCAGGCACGTCCTCACTCGCCTGCCGCCTGTTCCTATGCACACGCGTCCCCCAGGAACCCGTGTTCTCCTGAGGCTTCGCTTTCTGCCCCTTGCGGCCCAGGACCAGCTTGCATGCCTGCCGGGACCAGCGGAACCGAGGAGGCCTCAGTTCTCCCATCTGGAAAATGGCTCACCACCGCACCAGTCCACACACACACACGGTCACCAGGGACAACCGTGGCGATCCCGTGCGAATGTGAGAGTGACCGGCGAATGCTTCCCGCTGCCATCGATGCCATCCCTGCGACCACGGAGCTGAGTTTGGGTCTGGGGTTTCCTCGGCACGAGGACCATCAGGGTTTGCTAGTACACTGTGCTGCCACCAGCCGTGACCTGTGCCCCCCAACTACCTACACCCCCAGGGCAAGGCTGTGCCCTCGGTCCTGGGGCCTCTGAGGGCCCGTGGGTCCTGCTAGTTAAAGGGTCTGCTGGTGGTTTGTGCTGATGGGGCTGAAGCACCTGAGGTGGGCGTGTCCTCCCTGGCCCCTCCCATCTCCCCTCCCATCCATGGCCCCTGCTGCACAGAGGGATCTCCCGAAATTACTCCTCTGAACAGTTGGTGATGAGGCTGAGTGTGTGCCACACCCCCCGTGGGCTGACTCACGGCCTGACACCATGGGCCTGCGACTCCCTGAGCCTCAGAGCCATGGAAGGAGGTAGATCAGATACAAAGTCCTGGGCCCTGCACCCCGAGATCCCGGCCCCCTGTCGGTACAGCGCCCAGGAACCAGCATTTCCACGCGAGTCCAGGAGGCCATCCGTGCACCCGGCCCTTTCAGAGGCACAGCTGTCTCAGTGCAGCTCAGCCCACGTCTGCACGGAGCCTGCATCCCGTCGCCATGGAGACACCAGCCCTGCAGCACACAGCGCGTTCCATTAAGCTACCTCCATTCCTCAATCCCCTTTCTTGGCACAAGAGTTGATAAAGAAAAGAAAATCAGGTCAGCAAAATTGGTTTGGAAAATGAGAAATCGTCTTCTTCCAGCTCCAGGGTGTGGCTCTGCTACGCGTGCCGGTGGGGCTCCGGGCCAGCGAAGCTGCTTCACACCTCATAGCTCCTGCGCAGGCGAAACCACGCCAGCCGCACGGCGACAGCATGTGCAGGGTCCCGCACAGCCAGCCACGCTGGGGACGCAGCATGTCGGCCCTGCTCTCAGTGTGCATCTTCCCAGGAGGAGAAAGGGTGGAGGAGAAAGGGTTTCTCCCCAGTCTCTGCCTCCTCACCCCTCCGGCCCTGTACACAGACACACACACACACACACACACACACACACACACACACCAGCACACAGACACACAGGCATACGGACACACACACACACACACACACACCAGCACACAGACACACAGGCATACGGACACACACACACACACACACACACACACACACACACACACCAGCACACAGACACACAGGCATACGGACACACACACACACACACTGACACACACAGTTGCCCCCTGACAGGAGTTCTCACAGAGAAGGGGTGACAGCGGGGCCTGAGGCTGCCAGCCCTGGGAAGGTCTGCTTACAAGGTTGGCCTCTGGCGTCTGGGGTCTGGGCTCGGAGGAGGGCCCCCACCTCTCCCAGAACTGGTGTGAGAGGCTCAGTGTGACACACGTGCCACCAACACCACAGGGCGCCGCAGTGAGCCAATGAGTTACCAGCCTTGGGTGGGAATGCCGAGCCTCGCATGGCAGGACCGGCCGAGAGTGGGCGTCTGCTCTGTGAACCCTCCGCTGGGCTCAGCACCCGGACAGGGAGGCGGCTCGTCG